CAATAATCAAAGGCAGGGAAAATGGGCAACAATGTTTATAACTAGGTTTAGAAATTTCCAACAAAGCTCTTGCACTTTTCTTACCTTATTTTTATTTTGCTAAATCTATGGATACAAACCATACAATTATATTTGACATCCATGAAAGAACAGCGATGTAGTAATCTCCAGAAATCTTAAAATCAAGTAAGATTCCTGTTTGGTTAAGGACAAATGTAACATCAGAAAGAAGAATAAAGAACAAAAGGGTGATGGATCATAGGAATTAATCAGTTAGTTTTAGCTGCCATCAGTCTGCACATATGTATTTAAAACAGGAGCCACATTTCTGGATGTATGCTCCCTAGTTCCCTGGATTAGAAATTCCAGCCTAAAGCTGGCTCCATATTCTGCTTCAGATGAACTAACAAGGCTTGTCTTAGTTTAAAATAAAAAATAGAAATCAGATTAATTTTATGTTCTGTTTTTACTAATTCAGAGACTGCACAGGCTGTCTCTCCAGAAGGTTGGGGTTTTGCAAGCAAATACAGTGTTTTGCAATTTTGACAGCAGAGCACTTTGTGACCATTAAAGAAGCAAGGGAAAGGAACTCTCATTTAAAGATGGTGGAGTTAAGCTGAGATCATTTTGAGAGAGGCTCTGAAGCCAAAATGCTTTACAGTATTTTCCAGCTTGCAACAACCTATAAAAAAAGCACATGTGCAGCAATAAAACAGAACAACCAGTCATGAAAGGAACATAAAGAGAGACAGACAAACTGTTGTCCAACTTTTACAGAGAGCCCTGGAACATAAAATTTTGAGTGTTCCCTGGCACAGTATTCATGCTTTTTCCCCATTGGAAGTCATCCTCACTAGAGGCATCTGTAGTAGTGCTCTCACTACAGATTCCACCCTCAACTCTCCATTGCAATGAAAAAACCAATAGAGCTGCTTCATAGTAATTGGTGAAATTAAAGGGGTTGCAAGGTCCCTTAAATATCTGTCATCTTCAAGGACTACCTGAAGCATCATGGGAAAATAATGCCCATGACAATGCTGTGGATTATTCAAAGGTTAAGTTGTCCTTGTCGCCTAATGCACTGGGAAAGTCATGCACTCTGAGGTCCCCAGACCTGTGTTTGGAATTTAACTTGAACATTAACTATGTAAGCTCTTTACTCTGTCCAAACCTCATGGCCTTAAATGCTAAATGGGACTTCTGATAATGGCCTGAGAGCAATGTCAGAAGGCTGCTGAAAAGATTAGGAATGATACACATTAAATGCTCTTTGGTTGATCCAGGTGCGCAAAGGTGGTAGTTTTCTTTCATAAATGATTTAATTCCCCCTTTTATCATATTTTCCCATGTTCTAAGATTATAGAGACTCAATGCTTAGAATTTTAAGACAGAATGCAAAGACAAGGGTATGCACACATAAGAAGTACTTTCAAGTTCACTAATCTTCTGAAAATAATTGTTTTTCTTTAGAGTAGAAGGTTGTAGAGAGCAGACTTTCTGAAAAGTGGCCAGGTCTGTCTCTCTGAGTTATATGTCATCATATGAATAACCAAATACTCCACACTGCAAAAGGACAGGGACCCTCTAAGGTACCAACCAAGGAACAATGAGCTGCTTGCTTGTACATGACATGGAGACCAGGAGAAAATCTATGCTATACAGAATCATTATCTGTAGACTTGCAAACCTCTTGGAGATGATCTGGGTTCACTCTTATACGGTACAGTTTTCCTTCTGATTTATATCTCCACTTGGTAGATTTAAATATGATCATTATAAAAGACTATACTATAAATAAAAATATTATATAGTTGATATAACACAAATTCTGAGAGGATAAATGACCATAAACTAGATGTAAAGTCTCTTCATATGTGAGAATGGGCACAGTGTACAAGAGGCAGAGAAAAGTTAAATGCACAGAGCTCAGGTTCTGATCCAGGAAATCAAGAGTGAATGGGGGAAGAGTATGGAGTAAGTGCACCATCTTCAGCTGCTATGGAAATTGTTCTCATTTGCTTTGAGGTAGAAAGTTCTTGAGTCTTTACAATTACATGGTGCTGACAGAACCTCATTACAGGGGGCAAATTTATTCTTCCTGGCTGAGCTGCAGAATACAGATGTGTTCAGATTATGAAAGAAACATTAGCAAACCTCATAGTTCAATAACATGAATCTCTTCATGGAGTCACTGTCCAACAAGTCTGTTCTCTTTTTGTTCCCTATTTGCCACCTTTCCCACCCTTCCTAATTGTGTTGCTCATTGACTATTCATGATATATGGCCACCTCCCTAACTAATTTCAGTACATGAATAAAATTTTGAATTTCTTTTTATCCAAGAAATTGTCCATGGGTAACTTTTAAGACTTCACCCTTGAAAGATCTTTCTGAGACACAGGCTTTAATAAAGATGATCCCCTTCTTCAGTGCCAACTAACAGATTATGTCCTAACAGTGTCTCTTTTAATACATTTCATCTGAGCAGCTTCCATGTGCTTTGACTATAAGAAATAATAAAACAAGGTATTATTCAGGCTACCAAATAAGCCAACTTGAAGTATCCAGCCTGAACTTTCTCTATCCACTTCTTCTTCTGCCTCCTTCAACTACTGTTCAGGGAGCAGTTACTCAGCGCCTCTTCTTCGAGGCCTTCTGAAAAAATTATCATTAGTTGTTTAACCTTTCTCTTTTTTGAACTTCAAACCCTTCCCTTCCAAAAGTTGTGACATGCAACTGTCAACATTTGACTAATTTTGATCCCCCCAAAATGGCAATTACATTCATGGTTCAACCCTAGAGTAGTAACAACATCATGTGAATTATTAGTATTTGTGAAAAGAAAAAGGTTCCCTCATATTTAAAGCTGAAAGGAACCTCAGGTGTGATATAGTCCACTTTGTTCAGTTTATAGACTGAGCCACAGTCTTCACAGACTGGGAAAAGGAATTAGAAGAGCTAACACCACAAGTTACAGAGCCTGGGTTAGATTTGCAATGATTTGGCTCTTGTCTTAATGCTCATAAATCCAAGCAGGGGTCAGCAAACATTTTCTATACAGGAAAACAGTAAATATTTATGATCAATGGCTCTAAAGTTATTGTAGTGCAAAAACAGCTCAAGACAACATATAAACAAATGAGCATGGCTGCATTCCAACAAAACTTTACTTATAAAACAGATGGTAGGGTGGATTTGGCCTATTAGCTAGAATTTGCCAAGAACTGCTCTATAGAATTCCCAGACCCAAAAATATCTGCAAGCAGATGGGTGAGGGATCTGTATATTAAGAACCTGTTCAAGTGTTCACTGATGCTGGTCAGCATAAAGATTTCAGCCACCACCCCATTTACTGAGCTCTGCATTTTCCTTAAAGTTAGTAACTATAGGAGTCCAAAGTTGCTGGGATTTGCTCTTGGGTACCTTGGAGCTGCAGGCTGTCTAAGATTTTCTAATATGCTAAATTTGATAACCTAGGATGGGAATCCTACTCATTTCTTAACTCTTTGGTTACAGCTACAAAATACTGTATATTTCTGATGTAAGGAGCAAAACCTGTTAGAATTTGCTACTTATCAAGATAGCTGAACTATGGACTTGGATACTCAGGGTCTTGGGTGACTTCTAATAGTTTTAACAATCATTTAGAGCCCCCCATGTGTTGGATGAAAGTATCATCATTATATCAGCTGCATACTGGGTGAACATACACTGTACTGGCACTTGGATCAGCAAGAGATTTTAGATAATACTCTTTCCACTTCTGATAGCCAAGAAGCCATTTCAGCTGCATCTACTTTAATTTGAGATTCAAAAGGAGAGAAGCAGGTCATTATGCAATTTTAAAGGCTTTGTTGGTTCTATACTTAGGCCAGAAATTCAAAACAATCTTGGGAAGAATTATAACCAGGTTGTTTCAAGAAGGAAAACAAGTCAGTATTTACCAGCCTTGATAGTTCCGAGATGATAATCAGCATTTCTTCAGTGAAAATCTATTCATCCATCTACTATTTTTGAAGGCATTATATCAATAGATAAGGGATATTATTCAGATGGAATAGGCTCCTTTTCCCCAGTGAGCTAAGGATGTAGGAGAGAGAAGTTAAGGGACACAGAACACGCTACAGAAAAAAAAGGATACCTGAAAAGGTACCTGAAAAGACAAACTTATGTGCCAAATCATTGTTTGGAGGAACTCCTCCAAGAGCAGCAGTATGTGAAACATCACCAGTAAAAGTCATGCAGAGCTCTGGGTGGGCTATGGGCTAGGAGAAAGCAAAGAACACACTGTGCATTTCTGGCACAGCCCCACCGAGTTAAGAATAATTTTCATCTCCAGGCTCTAAACCACATCAACTGTTTCTAAAAGATGGAACCTTACTGGCTACCACAGCTTGTCCTGAAACAGAGGGAACTTTTTCCTTTGTTAAATCACATAATATGGATGTTTGCAACAAGAATTCTCTACTTACTTCTATTTTATAGTAATTTCTATTCACAATTTAAGAGAAGATCTGCGGTAAGAAAGAGCTTAGCACAGAATTCAAAGTGGTCAGGGACAGGATAAATGTGTAATGTGATATGAACTGACTCCCTGGGGAGTTGACAACAACTATAGATATCATCTGTACCCAGAAAATAAGAGGAGACTTCACAACTACTATCAGTAATGATTTTTATGGTATCATGTCTTAATTCAAAACTCATGTTATTTATCAAATTCCCAGTTTCTTCAGCTACATTAGCCATGCTGGCCGATTAGCTGTTGTACTTGCATTTTATAAAATAGAGCGAAGGACTGAAGGAGATTAGAAGGTATCAAATTCTTAAGCTCACCATTTATTTGGTTTAAGTCATATTTCTTCCCATAGAATGAAAAGTAGAATTCTAGATCAAGAGAAACCAACACAAACAAAATAAGCTTGCCCTGAATACCAACCATCCTGTTTTTCCAGGCCATCAAGCCAATCAACCAAGAGAAGAAATTCCAGCTGTACTTACTTGCTGGGGATGGAGTGCTGCATCCACTTGGAGGAGGGTGGCCATGGAGCCCGTGGAGGGGAGGCAAGGAAAGCCCTCCAATGACAGGGGGAAAGAGCAATGGGTAGGGTGTGGCTGGATAGTGAGTCATAGGTCCATTCACTGCTGGAACAGGGCACGTGTGGTGGCTATTGGTGGTCATGCTTCAGGCGTCACAGAAGGAAGGTTGCTCCGGGGCAGGAACACATCGCTTTAGGTCTTGAACCAAGTGAGTGAGCTAAACACAAGCCAGGAGTCCAGGCGGAGCTGTGCTCTAGGCCAAAGGCAAGACAGTTCAACTGGTGATCTGGCTTCTTCCTGGCATGTTTTCTCTACCTCTCATTTTGCTACCCCCGAGGACAGGAAAGACACTTTTGGATTCAATTTCTCAGAGTAAGGCTGGGGAGACAGGAGGACCTTCCAATTCCAGAGTTGTTAATTCTGTAAGAAAAACACACATATATATTACAAATCAAACTTTCTATTTATCAAGATATGTAAAAGAATTTCTAATATTAATTCAGGTCTCCAAATTCCTTGTTGTTCCCCTATACTTTTATTTTACAGTACTACATTTCTTAAATTCTCACATTCTAGTATAGGATAAAATTTGCACACAATTTGAAAATAAATAATCATCCCATTTTAAGCAGCAACACTCCCACTCCATAATTCCCTCTAGTACCACTCAACCTGCTAAAATGTTCTCCATGACTCTTAAACAACTTGACACATTACATGTGGGAGTGTTTGTTTTTGTCTGTCTTCCCCATTAGCATGTCCTCACCAGGAAGGCAGAGTATTTTTCTGGTTTTTTTAACAGTTATGCTTCAAGTTCCTGTAAAAGCAATAAATATTTGTTGAATGAAATTTTTGTTTCTTTTTTTAGGGAAATAAATCATTTAGTGCTATTCTAAACTATGTGCTTTCAAGATTGTACATATTTTTTACATGAATAACTTTGAATTTTATGCCAGCCATTTGAAATGATATAACAAGAAAAATATAATTATAGGAGACAACTGCTGTATAACTTAATTAAAGATAACAGAGAGATATTTTGAATCAGTGCCTAAGTCAACATACACACCTTTCTTGTAAGAGTGCCACCCATCCATCAGTTGATCCATTCATGTAACTGTCAAATCAGCCATACATAAATCAAATCTAAGCTTACTGATATATGTCAGGTGAGATATACAACATGGTAGAACACTAATTTGGTCCCTGTCTGCAAAAAGTTTCTACTTTTAATGACTTCTCTTTAAGGTGAAAACTGCCCATTCCCCACAAAGGACATTGTAGGGAATGTTCAACACCTAGAATTCTTCCAGAGTGGAAACACAAGATGTGTAATAGATTCTAGGGTGGGCTGGTTGTGGATTTCACATACTCACTCTAACCTTAGTAACCAGTTTACAGTAGTAGCTCCCAATCTCTGGATCCCACTGAATGGCGAGCTCTGAATGTCAATCCTGGTGGCACTGAACAAGGATGCCACAGCCAGACTGCCCACACTCAAATCATAATGCTGCACCTTGGAAATGATCTCACCTCTCAATGTGCCACTTTTTTCTGTAGAACAGGGATAATCAGAGAATTTACTTCATATGGTTACTGTGAGAAGTAAATGAGGTGATAATACAGAAAAACGATGTCTGGTACAAACATTAGGAAAAAATTTGCTATTAATACATGTATTTTCTCATTAAATGCTAAGCTTCTAAGAACAAGCTTGCCGGAAGAGACAAGAGGCTTTGGAGCTGGGACAGAAAGGAAACCTTGTCATAGCAGGAAAAGTAGTAAAGCTTATTTTAGGGAAGCAAAGAAGCAAAGTTGAGATATGAGTAAAGTGAGAACACCAACCTTTTAAGGCTTACTGACTCCGCTTGGTCCAGTAAGCCAGTTTGGTTATGATACCCCTAAAATATTCTAATCAATAATAACTTCCATTATTATTTACCAGTGGTCATGCACTTGACTTACAAACTCTTAAGTTCTAGCCCTTAGAACAATCTTATAGGACAGCTCTTATCACCCTTATTTCCCAGAAGAGAAAACTGTGTTTCAGTGAGTTTCAGCAGCTTCTTTTCAATGTCGTAGAGTCAGCCTGTGGCTGAGTCAGAATTTGATCCTAGGTCTGGAAGGCTTCACCATCTTTACTCTTCTTCCTGTCTCAGGGCTATGCTTATATATATTCACATGCCTAAGTGATCCTTGTTGTAAAAGAGAAAAAACTCCATGAGCAGATGTGATATTAGCTTCCATCCTTACTTAATGATATCTGCCCAAGGGCCTGAATCTCTGACCTATGAATATTAAAAATGAACATTGTCAATCATGGCCATGTGGTCCCAAGACTCCCTGTAACTCCCCTGAATCTTACAAAGGAGACCACAGTCCCAGCTGGCTTAGGTAAAATAACTCCAAAAGTGATGTTTTATCCAAAATACCAATGCCCTTCCCAAACTTTCAAACCACAACTCATTTCTCTGATAGACAGAAAGTTAATGGATTGTATATCCATTTTACCTCAGACGTAAATGTTTTTGGTGTTTTTTCTTCTAAAAAGCATACACCATTCAACATCTTTAATACTTTTATTTTGAAGATTGCAGCAAATTAATTAGAAAATAAACAGCACCATTTAGTATATGCTACATTTCCACTCAATTTGATTTTTAAATCACACACAAAGCCAGCATTGTTATAAACGGTCTTTTCTATCTCCATTTGACAAACTACCTCATTAACTGGTGGAGCTGACAATTCAGTAAGCCCACCCCGCAGGGCACAATTCTCAGATTTTTAAAGCTGTTTGTTTGTTTTTTTACCAACCAGAGACTATTTCTATCTTCAATAATCCTTCATTTCTCTTTGCTTTCAAACACTAGAGATTGTCAGCATCTTGCTGGCCTGGTTAAAAGGTCTAGTATCATGCCTGGGATCTTAAAAAAATAAAATTAAGACAACAAAAAACTACTTATACTGATAATAGGCAAAGAAAAAAAAATCAATGTGTTGGGAAAATCCTGTTACACTGGTGGAAAATTGTCTGAGCAGTCACTGGGTCTGTGTTCACATATGTGACTGATTAAAGCTATTCCTGGAACCGGAGAATTTCCTTTGTTTCAGGCTTTTAGAAACAAAGATGGTCACTGGTGTTAGCAAGGCTCTTTTTCCTTCATGCCTGATTTCAGTCTGCACACATTTGGGTTTCTTTCCTTCACCACCTGAGGCAAAGCAAACAGGAGTTGGATACAAGAAGGGAAGGAAGTGGGATCAGGTCTGGAGGTCTTAGATCTACCACCCGTGAGTTGCTCTCGTATCAATTTCACTATCTGCAAAAGGGATCAGGTGAAGAAGAGTAGGATTACAATCAAGTTTCTCAAACTGATATGTCCAGAAAACAAATGTTACAAGAATATACTAGATCAAAAAAAAAAAAAAAAAATAGGGCCTGGGATTTAGCTCAGTGGTTCCACTGCCTGCCTCTCAAGTGCAAGGACCCAAGTTCAATCCCCAGTACAAAAAAAAAAAAAAAAAAAATTAAAAACACTGTCTTAGAATTTTAAAAAGGAAGGACTTTTAAACAACTGTTTGCATATGGATATGGTTATGCAACAATCTGCCTTTGACAAATAGCAGGAGGTAGCATGATAGGTCTACTCACTAACCATGTGGATGATGTATCTTCATTTAGTGTCAGGTTCTTGGTAATCAAAAGATTAATGCCTATAATGCTTTATTAATAAAACTTCTTTCCACAGTTTAGTGCTTTTATTGCATTAAAAAGTTATTTTACAACTATAGAAATTTCTTGTTACATTGAATTCATTACAGGTTGTCTTTATATTAATTTTAGCATACAGTTGTATGCACACTTCCAACCTTATACTTCCCCACATTTAAATTTTATTTAATAGACATACTACTTACCCATTATTTTTAAAAATAATTTTTTCAGATCAGTGGTTCTCAAAGTGGGGCCCTGAGCTGGCAGTATCAGCATCACATGGAAATTTATTAAAATGGCAAATTCTCTGGGCCCCACCAAAGAGAATCAGTGAATCAGAAACTCTGAGGTGAGCCCACAAACTGTTCTAACAAGCCCTCCAGAGGATTCTGAGGCATCCATAGCTTGAAAACCACTGATCTAGACAAGAGGTTGGCAAGCTGCTTCTGTTAAGGGGTAGGAAGTAAATACTATAGATTCTAGTCCAGGTGTTCTCGGCCACAAATGCCCAGCTCTGCTGTTGTAGCAACTACTCATGCTACAAAAGCAGCCACAGATAATCCACAAATGAGTTGGTGTGGCTGTATTCCAACAAGACATTACTTATAAAACAAGCAGCCTGCTGAATTTGACCTATGGGCATGGTTTCCTGACCCCTGCTTTACACTGATGAACAGCTACTTTTCCTTATCCTTAAGTCCACTCTCCAGAAGCTACTACTTAAAAATATTTTTGTTGAGCTTTTTCTTTTGTTAACTAATATTTGTATTTCTGGATAATATACTTAAATGCTTTTTTCATAATTTTGTAAAATCTCCTTTATTATCTATTGGTTTAATTTGCAAATATGATCTAGTTCTCTTGGGCTACTGCCTATATATACAAAGCTCTCCCTCCACTCTTACTTTCAACATAATTTCATCACAATTTAAAAAATGAAAATCATTTACTTGATATTTACATTACTATGACTAGATAATATTGTTACAGCTGAGCCACGTGATGTACTGCATTTACTTATAAAATTTATTTGTTTTCTTGGAATTAATGTCTTTGTTTACATAATTTGTCAGGTTTGTGGGGTTGTGTCTGTGAATAATTCTTTTCTAATTTCCACCCAGACATTTGTGTCAGACATATCATATGATAAATGAGTTCCATAATTAAAGGCATTCCTCTTGTTCCAGGGATGACTGGCTGACTTCCTAGCCTCATATGGAGATTTCAAACTAGGCTTTTCTATTTTCTCTCTTATTGAAACTTCTCTTTCTTGGAACGCATGTCTTACTCTTTCTTGGGTTTCATTTTCATTTGGATGGCTTTTTTTCTCTGAGTTTTCTAAAAGATGGTACCTTAGAGGTGTATCAAACTACTTTTACTTGATAGTTTGGGTAGGTATAAAATTATAAATTAGACACAATTTTTAAATCAGAAATTTAAGTATATATTATACCATTTTTTCAAGCTTCTTACACTGATTTGGAAAACTCCAATATCACTCTGATTTCTGATCCTTTATGTATAAAATTTTTTTTCTAGGAGCCTTTAAAATCTCTTCTTTATCCCCTACAATTTTTTTTCCTCCTGCTCTGTATTATGCATTTGGTAGAGTATTCAACCTGTTGACTCATGTCCTTCTGTTAGGGAAAGTTTTAATTTAGTTTCACTTGATGATATTATCATTAATTTCTACTTTGTCCTCTCT